GGGGCAGTTTCAAAGGAAATAGGGTCTGACATACGTCCAAAAATAAATATTCGCCATAGATATAATAAAAAAAAAGTAAAACACAATTTTTCTGCATCATAAATATTACAAAAACATCCTTTCACCGACTTAAAAACTCAAAATAACATATCAGAAAACTTATATTTGCAACAAGTGACAAAAACTTCACATCCTCAAAATACCAACAGCAGGAAGCTTTACCCACTCATTAAAAGTTCGCAAACAATGTCATCCTCTGCGTAATCACCGCTGCGGAAACAATCAAAATATGAGCGGCACAAAGAAAGTCACGATAATAAATAAAGGTGAATAATTTTTCGAGCCTACTTAAAAACGTCGAACTATAATTATCTTGTTACCTGTACATAAGCACACTGATTGCCAGCTATTATTACCTTACAGCTTGTTATCCGTTACGAGTGTTACCGACACGGCGTGGTGTTACATCGTTACCAAAGCAACCAACCAACCAACCAATAGATAGTTATAGTTACATAGAAGAGAGTAGTCACATACCGAAACAACTCATTTGCATACCACAAAACGTCGATAATGATTGTGATACGATTACGTATAGGAATCGTATAGAACTCGCTACGGACGAGAGCGCATATTAATAAATGATAATAAAAATAAATTGTTTATGGGTAGAGTTTAAGTTTAACTGATCGAAGAAATTTCGTCTGAGATGCGAGTTCTAATTTTATTAGTCAACGTCGCGTTTAATATTCGATATTTTTACGACGAGGTGGAACAAATCGGAAATTTCACATTCCTCAAGCTGGTTGGCGTTAAAAATTAGTAACGCGCAGCCGGGATATTTTAAATACTTATAATTTTATGTGTTTTTAAGTTTAAGTTCGAGATTTCAAGGCGTAACTGTTGAAAATTTAAATGTTTCAAAGTATTGATAATTAATTATGTTAAAACCGGACATAAATAAGTGTAGAAAAAGTAAAAATAATTTTATTTTATATTAACTGCGTAAAAGTAACATTTTACGCACTTGTAATTAAAAAATATTAGGAAATATAGATGGAAGTGTCTCTAAAAGTTGGTATTTTGGTAATATATGTTTCAAATCAGTAGAAAAACAAGAAAAACTTATTTTTTGCATGCGTGTTTAAAATGGTCTTTTTACACACTTGGCAAAAGTTGGAAACGTTGATAAAATTCAATTTAAAGCATAAAAAATCAAGTGAATATAACAATTTTCAAAAAATAGTGATTGTTGCATAGCCACGTTCAAAAAACTGCTACTTTATGCACTAGTGCCTAAAACTACAACTTTACACACCAGAAAAATGAACATTTGTATATTTTAAAGAATTTTTTCGATTTATTTTTTAATCTGGACCACTAGCCACATCTAAAAATCATACTTTCTGCACTAGGACGTAAAACAACAACTTTAAACACTCAAAAATTAAACTTTTCTTAAAATTGCAATAAAATTACATTTACCACGTCATTCCAGTTTAAATATTTAATGCCCACATACCTAATGACATCTCTCACCTCTCCGCGCACGTGAATTGAATAAAATCAAATTACAGTGATTTGCACTTAAATCCACACTCGTACTAAGCAATAAATATTACTCACTTTTATCTACCTGTACCTCAGGCAGTTTACGGTGCGTACAAAGCTATAATCACTCAAATCTATTTTTGACATATCCTCTTACACTTCTAATTCTAAGCAAAGCCGGTGTCTGTTGTTATTTTACCATTACTACTACTTTTTTCGTCTTTGTTTGCGCCCAAGAAAAACAAGAAAAAAGAAAGAAGTCAAAAATATATTTATAAGAGAATACCGGAGGCGTTTGTGGAACACTTTAGACGAGCGTTTTGTTAATGGTCAACGCATTAGAGTTCTACTATTCGTCTATCTGCCTGAGCGTTTGAGACGCTAGAAATTTAATCTCGGCTTTGAAAATAATTAATGGTCGCTTTTTAATTCAATTTATGAGTTTTTGTTTTGACCGTTTTTAATTTAATTAGATGTGATGTGATTATTGTATTTATTATTTTTTGTTGATTGTAATAAATTCGGCATTTATTTCGAATGTATGTTAATTTCGAGCGAAATCTGCAACTTTTGGCCATTATGCAGTTTTTTTCGGTTCGAAAAAATACTTTATACTAATTTGCAATATGCAAATTGAGGTATAGAATTAATTATGAACAGAGAAATTATAAAAAAAATGCATAAGAATTAATTTTATTAACAGAATCAAAAGTAAATATAAATAAAATGTTCAAAAAAGTTTTGGAGCCATAGGGGCGTAAAAAGGCTACAAAAATTGAGTACAACTGATGAACAAGACAATAAAACATTTTTATCACTCAGATCCCAACTGATATTATAAATGCGAAAGTCCTGATGTTTGTTACACTTTCACGCAAAAACTACTTATCCGATCATCATGAAAATTTGTACACATATTCTTAGTGGTCCCCGAATGGTTATAGGCAACTTTTTATTTAATAAAAAAATTATTTTTAAAATAAAATAAAGAAATTGTTTAGCCAATAATACCTCTGCATCTGGCTATTTGACTACTTTAACGCCATCTAGCATTCCAGCAATGAAGCTCAAACCTAAGTACTATAGTACCATCACACTGTATTATCACACTGTATTACCGACAGCTACGTCAACATCAAATCCAATTGACTACACTATGGAGACTGTACACTATACTTCCATAGACTATACTTTCAGCCATTTTAAACTTCCCGCCATTCTACTTCATTGTTACTTCTTCTGTGACTACAGACGCGTACGGAAGCAACTTCATTATTTTAGATATTCGCGAGCGAAGCCAAGGGTTAAAGCTAGTATTTAATATTTTAAGAGCCCTAGGGCCGTAAAACTTTATATTTATCGAGTCGTCCAATATTATAGAGCTCACAGCTGTTTATAATAAAATAGGATCGTAAAATTAGTAGTAATGCAGAGATAGGAGTCCTAGGGCAACAAAATTTGAATAAAAATCAAAAATACTAAATTTTTGTAAATCGATGGCAGTAAAACTATTTACCAACAAATTTTATTACACAATGTCTGTAAAATAATAAATTAAGTAAAGTTAAGTAAACACTTACTGTACGCTATACCCTCACAATATCGCCAAAACGATATTTTTACTAAACCATTGCAAGTCAATGCAAGTATTTGTCAAGCCTGATGTGGATAGCTATTTCGACCATTAGAGGTCTCATCAGCACACCTACTGGCTTGACAAATACTGCATTGACCTGCCATGGCTTATATACAACTGGTTTATGTCAAGCCAGTAGGTGTGCTGATGAGACCTCTAATGGTCGAAATAGCTATACACATCAGGCTTGACAAATACTTGCATTGACTTGCAATGGTTTAGTAAAAATATCGTTTTGGCGATATTGTGAGGGTATAGCGTACAGTAAGTGTTTACTTAACTTTACTTAGCTTATACTCACCCTCTCGTACTACCATTGTATTTCAAAATAATAAATTTTTAACATTTTATCAATATATCCTTATTAACATTTACCGCCCTCTACTTTCAAGTAGTTACCATTCACGAAATCAATATGATTGTGCTAGTGCGCCTGCGCATTACACAGATACAACACCAATTTTGCATTTTCTCCAAAGCCAACAACCATTCTATACGCGTAAAAGTATAATATATTATTTATACATAAACAGCCTCGTTTGTCGCGCTCTATTAAACCGGGAGAATCCGTCCATCGTCTAGTCGGTGGTTTCATCGCAACGACCAAAATCGAAGGCGAAACGAAAACGTTAACTTTTCATTGTTTTGCAACGCTGAACAATACAATCACGTTTATTTAAACATACACACACACAATCATTAATGAATTGTTTAACAATTACGTGTGTGCACCAACTTTCATTGAGACTGTTTGGACAAAATCGAAATTCACAATTCGAGGAATTACACGGTACTTTTCCGTTTCTTTCTTAAATTGAAGTATTTTGTAGCCTAGTGAAGAATCACGGCCTAAAATAAGCAAAAATATGTTTTTCTGCATTTATTAATGAATAACTTCCAAATATTTAACGCTACAATAAATATTTATACATAAATCAAATCTGTATAAAATTCCACATCAAACCATGTAAAACTTACGTTAATTATTTTATTATACACAAATTAATCGACCAAAGAAACTAATCTTTAATAAAATTTATAAAATTTCTACTTATTTTGTTAAAAACATAATTAACAATAAAATATTTTAATAAAATCTGATAAATATTGATGAAGAATTTAATTAAGATGAGGACAAAACATGAATCAAGTTTGTATCTATTGGCATTATAAAGTTATTAATAAATAACTAAGATAGAAATCGATGTTTTTATTCTGTAGACCGTTATTCATCAAAATCACGCAATAACTCACTGAAATTTCGGTACACTCAGTGAATTATGCGCTAATTATGTAAATTAGTTTTCACAAAATGCTCGTTTGTCCGATTACTACTTTCGGGAAGTCATGCTGCGTTTACACGAGCTGTTATAAAACCAGACCATATTTCATTAGCGTTTAAATTAATTAATCAATTTAATTTAAAATTTTATCAAGATAAAACTTTAAATACGAATATCTCTTCTAAATTTTGTCTTAAAACAATTTTGTTTTCGCAGAGTTATAGATAATTAAATGGGAAATAAGAAAATGTACACAGGGTGTTGCTAAAATTTTTGGTTTAACAGTTATTAACAAAAATGTAAACGATTTCATTTTTCTGCTTTAGATGTGAATTAATCCATTTTACATTTTATTAACTTGAAACTTTAAATGAGAATATCTCCTAAAATTTTCAACTTAAAACAAATTTGTTTTCACTCAGTTGTAAATAATTTAATTCGTAATAAGAAAATGTATACAAGGTGTTGATAAAATTAATAGTTCAAAAGTTATTGCTAAAAATCTAAACAATGTCATTTTTCTGTTCCAGATGTAACTGATTATACAAAGTGTACCAGGAACTATTACTCGCATGTTAATTATGCGCATTTTCCGCACTTCAAGAATTCAATTTCCTAGTTTAAGCAGTCGCAATGCGGATCATCGACATCGAGACCAACAGCTTTCTAAAATGAAGTGAATGCGCATAAACAAACACCAATAAAATAAAAACAAACATAAACTTCAATCCAAAAGAAAGTTACCATATAAAACCAACACACGTCAAAAACAACACCCTGTATCACCATGGTTGTAGTAGTACCTGTAGTAATCGGCGCAATTAAAGCCGCAACAGGATTAATAGGAGTTGGAAAAATCGCCATCTTGCCCTTTTTACTAGCCGCATTCGCCTATTACCACTACGACCAATTCGACCCGGAAAACAGACCCTTAAGTGTAAACAAAGTAGAAGCAGAGTACGACTTTGTGATAGTAGGTGGAGGAGCCGCAGGATCAGTACTCGCAAATAGACTAACAGAAATTGAAGGATGGAAGGTGTTACTCCTGGAAGCAGGAGGTCATGAGACAGAAATCACAGACGTGCCTATCCTAAGCTTATATCTGCATAAGAGCAGAGTGGATTGGGGTTACCGGTAAGGATAAACCCCAAAATTTTCATAACCTCCTAATATGTGGACCTTTACAGAACCCAAGCCCAAGACTCAGCCTGCCAAGCAATGAGAGACAAACGTTGCAGTTGGACCCGTGGGAAGATCCTCGGAGGGTCCACAGTCCTCAATACAATGTTATACGTCCGAGGAAACCGTAGAGACTACGACCAATGGGCTTCATTCGGTAATGAAGGTTGGAGTTATGAAGAGGTGCTTCCCTACTTCCTCAAATCACAAGACCAGCGGAATCCTTACTTAGCAAAAACAAATATCACTCAACAGGTCAGTACCCAAAAAATAGACATCTAAAAATAACTAATATCAACCCTTCTAGGTGGTTTGTTGACTGTCCAAGACAATCCCTACAACACCCCCTTAGGTATAGCCTTCCTGCAAGCAGGTCAAGAAATGGGTTACGACATCCGAGACATCAACGGTGAGAAACAAACAGGGTTCGCCCTCTTTCAATACAACATGCGAAGAGGTTCCCGATGTTCAACAGCTAAAGCCTTTCTAAGACCCATACGCTTAAGACGTAATTTCCACTTGTCCCTATGGTCCCACGTTACCAAAATCATCATAGACCCACAAACCCGTCAAACCCAAGGTGTGGAATTCATCAAAAACAACAAACGCTACACAGTAAAAGCCCGCAAAGAGGTGATCCTAAGTGGTGGAGCAATCAACTCCCCACAATTGCTAATGTTATCCGGAATAGGTCCTGCTCAACACCTACAAGAGAAAGACATCCCTGTTATACACGACTCCCCTGGAGTGGGTCAAAACGTCCAGGACCATATCGCTGTAGGAGGGATCACGTTTTTAATCGATGAGAGTATAGCCCTATTGACCTCTAGATTGATCAATGCAAACACAGCTCTAAGATACGCTATAAAAGAAGATGGTCCATTGAGTTCCTCAGTGGGTATAGAAACAGTAGGGTTCATCAATACAAAATACGCGAATGCAAGCGATGACTGGCCCGATATGGAATTCATGTTGTTAAGCACCAGCACAGCAGCTGATGGTGGTACCCAAGTGAAACACGCGCATGGTTTAGCTGATGATTTCTATCAGGAGGTTTTTGAATCTATTAACTACAAGGATCAATTCGGGATCTTCCCTATGATGTTACGACCTAAAGCCAGGGGTGTAATAAAACTCAAATCCAAAGACCCATTGGATTACCCATTGCTCTACCATAATTACCTAACAAATTATCATGATGTCGCTGTGTTGCGGGAAGGTGTAAAAGCAGCCGTAGCCCTTGGGGAAACCTACTCCCTAAAAAGGTTCGGAGCAAGACTGCATAGAGCTCTGGTACCCAACTGCAAACACCTCCCACCATTCACAGATGATTACTGGGATTGTTTCGTAAGACAATATACACTCAGTATATATCATTATTCATGCAGTGCTAAGATGGGTCCTCCAACTGACCCAATGGCAGTGGTAGATCCCAAATTACGGGTTTATGGTGTAGCTGGATTAAGGGTTATTGATGCTAGTATTATGCCCACTATAACCAACGGGAATATCAACGCGCCGACGATAATGATAGGTGAAAAGGGTGCAGATTTGATTAAGGAGTATTGGTTGAAGAAGGGTGGGAGGCGGAAGAGGAGTGTCGTGGAGCGGAAGCGACTAGAGACGTAACACATGTAGAGGTCTTTGATGACACAATTGATGGGACTAGTCATATATCAAATACACTTTGCTCAAGGTAGTATTGTTACCAAAAGTATTGCGTTACCATTTGGGGCAATTGAGATGTGGTCATAATATTAAAATTAGGGCTTTGAAATTTATCGAGAAACTATTGTAAATATTGTTCATAAAATTCCAAAAATCATTGCCATAATATTTATATTCGAAACATTTACGATTTGTGCAATTATTACTAGAATTATTATTATTGTTGTTATTGTTATGAGAGTAAATATCGATAAGTAAGGTGTACAGTATGTGAGTTTTAATAAACAAATTTTATTTTTATTTTTTAAATATTTTTTTATTATATACTACCAAATCTAGAGGAAATTATTGATTTAATTTAACTTAGGTGCTTGTAAAGTACGTTGCGCATGTGTACTAATCAATATACTGTATGTGAATGTGAAGTTAAGGTATACTTCCCATAATACAACTGTAATAAAGTAACTTAAGCAAGATGCAAATTTAATTTTTACTTTTTAAATTTGTTTTTACTATATACGACCAGACATACATTAATTTATTGATTTAAGTCACCTTAAGTGCTTGTAAAGTGCGTTGCGCATGCGCACTAAGTCATAATAAACTTGTAATATGTGAAATTAACGTATACTTTCCATATTACTTCCATGAACAGTACTAAAGTGACTTAAGTAAGGTGAAAATAAAGTTGCCTATGTCCAGTCTTGTTTCTTACTGAGTAATCAGCACAAAATAAACTGCGCATGCGATACACGCTTAACAAAACAATATGTTAATTATAATATTCATTGTGCCTAATAAATTGATCACTTAATTGATGAAATTTAGGTTATGCATATTTAAGTAGAGTTTAAAAATTTAAATAAATTGAGGTTTTTAATTAAAAGTTTGTTTCGGCGAATAATTAAGTAACTCCTATGCTTGCAACTAAGTTACTCAAGTCGGCGTTAGTTGTGTGCAGAGTAATTAAATCTAAGCGCGTTTTATCTAATTAATAGGATTAACGCATTAATGAGCGATTTCTTCTCGTAAATCATTGGTAAATTTACATATTTGCACCGTTTGCACAATTTCATGCAGTCAGTATGTAAAATGAGTATTGTATTCATTTTAAGCACAAATTAAGATTATGATTATTGAATAGTGAATATTATTAGTGACAAATTAATATTTTATACACAAAAGTCTTAATTTGCAGTGCCTAATAATAAAATATTGAATATCAAAAGCACAAAATACAACTTTTAGGCACACAATTTTATCTTTTATATTTTTGCCATAAGTATATAAAACATGAGTGTTTAAATATTCTATCTTGTATATCAAGTGTATAAATCCTCATTTTTCTATTTGTTACTATTGGCAACGTGTCTAAAAGGACTTTTCACACTGAAGTTTAAAAAAGTACAATTTTACACACTTCAAAAATAAAAATTGTTAGAAAAACTTGAAATCTTTTTCAAGTATTGACCGATTAAAATGCGGTAAGCCGGACAGGCGCAGTACGCACAGACCAATAAAGTGATACTTTCACAAAGAGAGAAAGACGTCTTTTCTCTTTGCACGTACGCACCACAGCACGAATATATATCGCTAATCGCCACTAATCAAATCATTATCGACATTATATTTTATTTAAAAAACACGAAAAAATTGAACTCTCAATATATTTCAATGTCTCAAATAAATAAATTACTCTGAAACTTGCCAAAATTAAGCAAAAAAAAGATTTAATTCAATTTGTTAACTTTTACTTTTAACGCATCAGTTTTTCCAAGATATGGTGCAACATAAAGTGGTACTTTAAACACGGGTGGCTAAAGCCGTGACTAAAGTACTTTTTGTTCCTTTTTCGATCCTCAAATTTGCAAAAATTCAATCTAAACTTTACCAAAACTTCACGCAGATTTCTGTATCACTAATAAATAATGCTTCATTAAATTTTGGTTTTGATTATGTCAGATTTCATATTATGAAGTTATAAAACATCTAAATTAATCAAAAAATAGAAATTCTAAGAAAAATACTCAATATGATGTTATATCAAGTAAATGTGAATCATAATAAATTGGGATGATTTCAACTCATTGTTCTTTCCATCAATTGTTAATACAAATTGTTTGTTTCTTGATCTAACTCAACAAAAAGCCCAGGAAGAGAATACTTTTAAAATGCGACTTCAATAACAAGCAAACCCAACCATTTTTTAAAATTTCTGTCCATTCATTCATGCATTTTGTAAATTGCCTCCTCAACGTTTTTATGCTTTGTCTATTTCATTCCAAAACTAATTGAACATTGTTTTCTTCAGTCCTGTTTCTCTGCTTACCATGTTGCCATTATTCATTGACTATTATATAAAAATTCTTTCCGCACGCGTCTACAAATCACTTTTACTTTCGACGCTTCTTGCCTTGGCGCATGAAAAAGGAAGTTTAAGTTTCGTTCACGTCGCGTCCATTGTGATGCTTCTGAAGATGGAAAAATGGTAAACACGTGACGAAACAATTCGTGCATAAAACCGCCAAGAACGAAAGAAAAGAGCAGAACAAAGAGCTAAAGGCTAGAAGTGGCTTTTCTATTTGTTTCGCCTTGGCATTCATTAACACCGACATTCGAGTTAGCAACGTGCGCAACTTACTTAAGTCTCAGCTTACTCGCTTCTATATTACACAATACAATAACAACTCTCTTTGGAGTTGCAGGCGCTGTGTATAAAAGATTAAAAGAAAGTAAAGCAAGTAGATGCTTAGTTTGTATTGAGGTGGGCGAAGCACTTTTGAATGTAGTAAACACAACCTTTTTTTAAATACTGAAGTTAGAATATTGTATTATACATCAAATTAAAGATAATTTAATACTGATCCAAAATATAAATTAATAGAATATAAATGACGTGATGCAAAAATGTTCTGAGCAAAAGAATAGCAAAAACGTAAAATTTTCAAAATTTTTGATTTTTCGCAGTTTTTTATTCATAACTGTTACAAATATTAAAGAAATTTAAAAATTTAAAAAGTATTATGAAAGTAGTTAAATTATGAATCTACTGAATTAATATCCATATCATTTATCAATCCAGAAGGGTCTTAAATATTACTTTAAAAATCAAGTTACAAAAATAAATCAGTACAAAATATTTGCAAAAATCGTCAAAGTTTTATGTTGATATCTCAGAAAGTAAATGTCGTAGAATATTGAACAAAACGTCAACAGATAGATAATTTAAAGATAAATAAACTGTCAAAATTATATGAATATATATTAAACCAACAAAAAGCTGTAAGACTTTAAAAAAAACGCAACAAAATGGCAAAAAATGCAATGATCATTTTAACATCAAAATATAAACAAAATAATAATAATATCAAGAAAAATAAACCATAATTTTGTAAAATATTAAATAATTAATCCAAAAAATAGTTTAATTTTTAAATTTTGTACATAAATTACCTAAAAATTAAGATTTTATAAAACTTACATTATGTAGCAAAAAATCCTCAGTAAAAACATGACTTAAGTCACTAGGACTCACCTGAAACAAAAATACAAGTATTACTTCAAAATATTTAACTGTATATAAGTAACAAATGAAAACAAAAAACTTTTATTTTCATCTAAATATTTTGTAACTCACATTACACTAATTAAAACCAATTATCATCATTCCCACCACTTGAACAATTGCAAAATCCGCCAAAAAAGAAAAAGTCCGCATTAATATACACAATTAATGTACAATCATCAATCATACTCAAGCATTTAAACCGTTTACTACAACTACTAAACTCTACAAACCTCCATAAAGCGACTCAACTTAAGTAAAGTAAAAATAATTGTAGTTTATACATTTGTAATTGTAATTTAATTGAAAGCACCAAAGCACACTATAAACTTTACACATACAAAATTATTTAACGACCAATTATGTTCCTTAAATCACTTCGGAGGCAATTAACAATTCATTAAAAATCAAAATCAAGGTAAAAAAATTCAGTTTCAAATGTTTTCGGACGCCATGAGAGTACAACACAGGAATTGTGCAAATCGTCATCGATTTCAATTTCGATTTCGTTTTCGCCTACGAAACCAAATAGAAAACTCAGATATGTTTACAACTCGCGCCAATCAACATCATCACAGCGCGCGGAATTTTACAACACCAACAACAACTGAAGAAACTCAACAACAACCTCGACAATCATAAGAAAATCTTGCTGACTCGCAGCTAGTTTTCATTCTTTACCGCGACGAGCTGAGAAAAACACACATCCGATTCTGGTATTCAACTACATCACAACTAAAATAGTAATAATAATAATAATAATAATTTATTGTGGTTTTGTGTTTTGTGTGTTGTGTATTAAACTTTTTTGTTTAAATTGGTGTGATTCAATTTTGTCTGGTTAGTTGCTTCGTTGATTTTGATTCTGATCGATTGGGAAAGAGTAATTTCGACACATCCGAAAATTCACCAGGTGCGTGCGAGCGTGCGAGGAATATTCGAGCCAAGGTGAGATAATCACATAATATATAATAGAGTAGCAGCAAAAATAGAAACAATAACGGTGTTGCACATTTGTTCATGGCGCATTATGCCTTTTTATTATTTAGTTGCTTATTCTTTTCTTTGAAAATATTATTTCAACATTTTTGTAGTAATATTTTGTATAGTTGTGTTGCTGAAATATGAGTGTGATGTGATTGTAATATGTGAAAAGTTATAGGTTTTTGATGATTATATGAAAACTATTTGGAATAAATTCGTGATTCTTTTAAAATACTGATTCAGGATTAAATTATACACGTATGTTGTGAAAATTTTGTTTATTAGAGCTTTAACTAAAAAGTTATTAACAATTAAAGTTGATTTTGTAAAATTTTTAAAAATTAACAGAAAATCGGCTGTAACTTTTGTTAAAATTAAGTTATCAACAAAATTTATACAATAATATGTTATTAATATTATAATGGAGTTATTTATTTGTTTGGATGTTTATTGTTTTCTTTGAAAATATTTTTTCAACATTTTTCTCTGTGTAGTCGAGTTGATGTAATGTGATGTGAATATAGCACTCGAAAAGTTTTAGTTATTTGCAGATTATAAGAAAACTAATTACAATAAACATATCAATCTTTCACAAATTTATTCAGAATTAAATTATACATCTAATTTGTAATTATTTTGATGATTAGACTATTATAGAAAAAGTTATAAACAAATAAAATTTATTTTACAAAAAAAACGATACTCGACAGAAATTAAGCTGTAACTATTTATAAAATAACGTTATCAACAA